TTGTTTGTTAGTTTGGCAGTGTTATTTTTTAGGATTACTGATAAACTACTGTCGTTTGATTTGCATTATTTGTATTTGTTATTTATTTTAATTTTTGTTCATTTGGATAAAAGCATCTGCTAAATGACTAAATAAATAAATAAATAAAATAAATACATTTCCAAAATAGATTTGTGTTAATAGCTTTACCTGTTCTCAGCTTTCTTAAGTAGGGCGTCCCACCTTTGCCCCAGGCATTCAATCTCTCTCGCAATCTTCTCCTTATCAACAGTATCAGCTAAGTCGGTCACCTTTCGTCCCTCCGTCTTAATCAGCTCCACCGTAGCTCTCCGGTCATCCAGCAGTCTCTGCAGGAGCTAGACAGAGCCAGCAGAAAGAATACAGTGATGTGTAAAACCAAAAGACAGATTTCACAATCAGTGAACTAATTCTCACTGAGATAAAGTCTAAGTCATACCTTCTGCTCTTGTATCTGTGCTTTCACCACTTTGAATTCTGCTGATGGAGGCTTCTGATTGGCCACCAGCTCCTCTGTGTCCGTGAGCCAGCTGAGAAGGGACTCCAGTGCATCCTGGAACCTGCCACAGTGCAGCAGGGCTTCATGAAGCTGTGCAGATCGCTCCGCAACCTGAGGAGATCACACGTACGGCAGTTTTAAGGAAACTACCTTAAAACTAGAGCTTGGCATGCTTGAAATTGCTGTAGCATCTCACACTACACCGCTTCTTGTTATAAAACCTAGCTACACTATTTTACAGACTATTCTTAAACTACTGAGAAGGTATCACTACTTGTTAGTTACTCACCAACACTGGCAAACATTATGATTGTTATCAAAAGATTATGAGCATTCCAGTGCAGCGCACAAAGAAATCAAGCAATTCATCCATGATATTGCACCTCTTTAACTGAAATATAGACAGTTTTTGAAACTAGATGAAGATTGGGTCTTACTTTTTTGTTGAGGGTGTTCCATCTGGTGTTGACCTCCTCTAGATCGTGATCAAGTTTTTTGGTGCTGGTGCCTTTGGCGGCATTTTGGATCAGTGCCTGGCCCAGTGTGTTCAACTCCTGCAATTGGCTCTGCAGCGACTCAATGACGTCCTTTTGGAAAACCTGTAAGTGATAAATACAGAAGAACACTGAAAACCCATAGAAAATGTAAGCAATTCAATCTTCATAATATTCAAGCAATCATTAAATAAACTCCAATCTCCTGAGGTCACTCTTTCAAAGCTAAGAACACTACATGGAGTTCTCAGTTAAGAATCAAATTAGTCTTAGATGTTTCTCTTAAAATTCATTAGCAGATAAAAACAATGAAACAAAAAAGACTTGTTGAGATCCAGTAAGCAGACCAAGCTACAAAATGAATGTGTACAACATACAGTAGCTATTACTACAATCCCATACTGGGGACCAACATCCAAAACATATGCTAGAGGCCAGCTAGGTTGGTCTTTTCAGCAGGGTAACTAGATATATTGTAGCCAGCAGCCTTATAAGGTTAGGCTCTTCCACTGAAATGGGCACTATGTGCACTCTAACGCCAGGCAACTGGGTGTTGTGAGAGGCTGCGACTCAGTTACAGCCAGCTGTGCACAATCACAACATCTGAGTCACTGACCAGCAATCATGATAAACCTAATTCAGCTTCTCCTAATCTGATAAAGGCCGAACGGCACTAGCCAGCCTCCCAGGAAACACTAATCAAACGATCAACATTCACCGACTATTTTGAGGTACCTGGGTGGAAGGCAAGGCCACAAGCTTCACCTGCGAACATTCGGCTATGGATGTTAATAGACTCTCTATGTCTTCATCGTCCACGTGTTTTATTCCATTGGAGAAACATGCCTCCCTTTCAACTAACAACAAGAAATCCTCCAAGTCTGCCATTTTGGAGTCCGTAACTCTTTGCTCGCATTCATAGCACTTTTCGTCCTTGGTTAAATGTTGTTCTAGATTCTGCTGGCAATGTGAAAGAGGTTCTGTCACCACAACACTGAGCAGCTCACAGTCACCCTGCGAACAAGTGTCTTCAGGAAGTTCAGCTGTGGGTAATTCCTCATATCCTGAGAATGTTGTGGAGTTGTGTGTTTTACTACTTGACTCTGCCAGCGTCCTGACATTTATAGCTGAACAATTGCTATTAGAAACAATGTGCTGACCCACACTGAGGTCTGAGTTGTATGTATTGTTACGTTGTTGGCTTCCAAGCGTTGATGTGTCTGTGCAATACAGCGGAGTGGGTAATCTGTCTTTCATTGGGGAGAAGGGGAACTCTTCCTGACCAAAGCTGAGGGAACACCCTGGCTTCAGGTCCCCAGATACGTGCACCCCCTCAGCAGAAGAAAGGCTTCTTGTGCCAGGCCCGGGTCGCCTCTGGGTTCGTGGGTTTCGTTGTTCTCTTTCCACAGTGGGACTACACAGACCCGAGTCGCCTTCTGAGGTAAGAGAGTTCGTCATGCTGCTTCCTCTTCCCACTCGACCCATTCCGTCATTGCACAGCGTTCCGCTGCAGCTGCCATACTCGCAGAGGTTTGCGGGGGCGAAGGTCCGCCAGGAACGGCGATGCTGTGCCGGCTCCTTTTTCTCGCCCACTGGCCGTGGCTTGCACAGCATGGTGTCTGCACCCCGGATAATATCTCCATTAAGCTTCAATCCATCGAACACGACCCGCTCGTCAAAACGCACCACCTCCCTGCTGCGGAGCTCAAAGGCACTAGAGGAGGCCAAGACGCCGTTCCCACAGAGTGCGCTTATGTCCAGGTTGCGATGGCTATATGGTAAAGTGCCGACTAAGTGCCTTGAGGTCAGACTGCCCTTAGAGCCCGAGTCGATTTGCTCATTCAGACGCACTGTGTCATAAATGGACCTCTGGGGAACGTAACAGTCATCGATGTTGAGGTCCTCCTCCTCTCCTTTGCCCACACAAGAAGGGTTCTGCCGCAGACAATCTGGTCTACTCAGAGGTTTGCCCATTATGACTTATAACAATGAGGTAAAGCTTTTCAGTGCAACACTCCCTAACAGACATGAAAACAAAAAGAAACTTTTAAAAAAGCCCAAAGGGAGTCTTTAATTTTGCAACACTTTACCCCAAAGAAAACGTGAGAAAATAAATACAACAGTAAATAAAACTATAGACTTTTTTATGAATATGTGTATGAATATACAATTTTAAACCAAAAATTACATATAACATTTCTTTTATAAAGATGGTGAAAATAAAGTTAATGAAAAATTAAAATTTTTGTTATTTCTAATACACATCACTTCTTCCTCTTATACATCCTTTTCCAAAATGACAATCCTGCTGGTTTGCATTTCTACCCATTGTCACAACTTGTCATTGTTGCTTGTTTCCTTAGTTCTTTATAACTCCATCACAGTCATCATCCAGTGCTTGGAATTGTAGAATTTCCAGAGAACTCCTGTACAGTTATCCACACAGAGGCAACCCGTATGCATAATGCTGGCATATCCCGATACAAATCCTCAAATCTGGGAAAACAAAGCCATAAGCTCCATGAGAAACAAAAAGCCGCTCCTGCTTCTCTTGTGGTCCAACCGGCAATGACAGACACCCTCCTGGCACAGGGCTCAAGGCCCCGCCCCCCTCACATTATTCAGGCAACATCTGCCACAGCTCCATTTGTGCGGTGGCTGGCTCATGCTGATTGGTAGACTCTTGACCCTCTTTTAATTCTCCCCTTCTGTCTCCGTGTCCCATTTGACTTAACTTCTTAGTGTGCTTCTGCTCTGACAGCAGCTCTCCTCCTCTTGTCAGGGGAGGGCAGAGAGAGAGAGAGAAAAAAAGCAAAGCTACAAAAGTGACCGGCAGTCTCTCAGATGACATCACACAAGGCAGAAATAGATATGCTTTCCGCTCTCTTGCCCTCTCCGTCCCTTGTTTCTCCTCCTCTCTGCCTGGTGTTTTGGAGCCACGGAAGAGCCTGTAGTGTCTCATAATTACAGCGGAATGTGGAGGGAGGAACTAGATGGGGGTAATGAAACACCGTAAGTGCATGACAGGTCTTTTTTCATGGCAAGTGCATGGACAAGGTGGGAGAAGCAAAGGATTGAAGGGTAGACTGAATAAAGAATGCAGTTTTGTTTCTGGTACTTGTCAACTTTACTTGTCATATAATCCCTGGATACAAACCTCACAGTATATATGCTCATTTTTGTTGGGCCCTACATAGGGAACACGAATCTTTGTTAGTCATTGAGCGCCAGCTCAGGTTTTAGTTGAAGCTGGAAATAGTGCATAAGTAAAAACTATATTTTGAGTCCATTACAATGCTATTATCATGTCCATGGACACGGCAGTTAGCATGAAATATTGCAAATATAACACTGAATTTACCATTTGAAATATGGCAAATTAAACAATTTATATTAAATATTCATTTTATATACATTTAAAATGCATTAATACAAAATCAAATAATTACATTGCAATTACTTTTTAATTACATTAACTATATGAAGTATGGTAATTGATATATTTATATATATATCTCTATCATGACGTATCTACGTAACATTATCATATGTAAAACCCCTAATCTAGGTGATTCATGTGTTGTCTTTGGTGACATTTCAGCATTGCTGCTGAGTGTGTAGGGAGTAGTGCACAGCACGTAGGTGTCTGGGAATCAGTACACTGCCTCTGTGTCAGCAAAAAGAGGAACTCATGAAGCTGGCAGAGGTGAAGAGGTTAAAGACATGTGGGATTCGAAGAGAGGTATTTTGAAATGATATAGGCCGTGAAAGGGCAGAACATTTGTTTTCATAGTTCCAAGGTCCAAGTCTCTAATGTCTCTGAGATGTGTTTACTGCTGTTGACGCCACATAGACGTCTCATGAAGCAAATAAAAGGGATTTATCTTTCTATGATGCCATTTATTTGGATGAACCTGACCATTTGCTGTGCTTTACAGCTGCTTGATTTTGGGGCCTCATTTATAAAACAACCAGAATTTCTGTGTAATTTGTTTATGAATGCTTTCCTATGTAAAATGTGACACTTTAAAACTGTAAAAAGAATGATTTTACAAACAATTTACACAGGAGTTTGTGGTCCTTGAAGTTTTGACCAACCATTTGCACGTGACAAAAACTTGTAAGCCAGCCTTTTAAATGTGGATGAACAAATTATCAGACCTGATGTTAAATGCAAAAACCATTAATTTAAAACCAGACATGATGGGAAACAATTGCTGTTTGTGCACAGAAACAGGGCAGGGATGTTTCCCCATCCGAAAAAAAAAAAACTGTCAACAAAATCTCTCACCATTCACACGAGCAATACCCACAGGCACTGAAACACAGAACTATTATTTAGAAGAGAACAAAGGTTTCGTTGAAAAAAAAAAATCTCTGAATATATTCCTCAAGCACTCGAGGGCTGAGATCCTTTGGGCCAAAAACGTTATCTCTCTCTCTTTGTCAACATCCCATGCAACATGATCGCAATGAAATAACAACTTCATCATAATGCAACAATGTGCATAAGTTCTAGTGCTGTGCTGGTGGAGGGTTTCAGGTTGCCTCTCGGGCGTTTGTAGGGTGAGTCAGGCTGATGAGTCAGCTCAACACTGGGGGCTTCACAAAGACGCCTTTCCCATCATCACCTATGGAATTACGAACAGCTATGATTCAAGAGCCAGAAATTCCCACAGGTTCGCAGGAGACATTAATGTCACGTCTAAGTAGAAGAAAGACTAAGAAGACTAACAACTCTTCAATTTCCAAACATGTCCTGCAAGTTAACGTGTTGTGGGTTGATTTCCGACATATGGCTTAAGTCCTTACATATTAGGTTTTTTCACAAATGAATCCACTGAATTGAAGAAACAAAAAATAAGGTTAAACAAGCAACTTCATGCATTTATATTCTTAAATGACAGAACCAGACTTCAAAAAAAAAAAGGCAAGAGAAATATATGCCTGCCTTTGTGTTTCATGATCTGGTTCATTTTGCTGAGTTTAATGGCCGTATCAGTGAGAACAAAGCTGATTTTCCAGCAGCAGCTGATGTAGTCGTGATCACCCATCCAGCCATTGAAAAGAACAAAAAGAATGGGGGAGACCGAACAACAAGGGGCCAAATGATCGACCGAACAGCGGCAGCTGATGCTTTATCACAGCGCACGGATGTCCATGTTTGATTCATATGCATGTCCAAATATAGGTTAAGCTTCTTTTAGCTTCAAGCTTTTAAAGGCTTTCTGGACGATGTTTTATCGTAGTTTAAGTCTTGATAATGGTTTTAACCAGGACTGATATTGTAAATATCACAATGTTGGGTTCAGCAGGTTTGTAATAATATACCAATATTATCCATCCTAATATTTCCTTTGATTTCGCTTTAGTAGTAATTAGACTATAACAAGTCTTCTGTTTATGATAAGAAACACACTGCGTTGCCATAACAAAAGAAAAGAAAGAACACTTTGCTCCGGTATTTGAGGGAATAAGCTACATTTATGAACAACCATCTGAACAACCCAGAAATTCCTGCAACAGCATACTTTTCCAAATGATGTACCACTTGAAATATGGAGTCAAAAATGTCCAAGAATCCAAACTGACCAAGACAAAGATGTAATTTTTGAGAGATTACGTCAACTTCTCTAAAAATATTACAAGTTAAGCTCTATCATTTGCCTCTGTGGCACAAAAGATCATTACAATTCACCGCTCAGTTTGTAAAAACAAACAAAAATCACTATAGTGAGACAAACAGAAATTGTTGTGCAATAAGAAATGATTTTCTGTGATAATTAACAGCAAATGATTTACTGTGGTAATGTGACGCTAACAAAAAAGTTATATTTTACTAAACCCAGAACGTTCATTTAAAGGCTTTGATAGAACCATCATAAATATGCATTAAATGCAACTAAAACTAAATTAAATGCTCTAACATAAAAAGGCTGAACAGATTTGTTTATATAGCATAATCAGTTTTCTAATATTTTGCACAAGAATGGAATCTTTACCTATATCGTAACTAAATTCAGAAAAAAATGAATTAGCTTGCAGATAAAAATAAGAGAGCTTAAAAAGCCTTTTGTTCGCAGTTGAATGGAGAGGCCAGCTCTAGTACTAGCTAACAGGGCAAGGAGCAGAAGTCAGACCCCACTACCTTCCACTGGGCCGCTACCATACACGGCACCCCACTGGCCCCCAGCTGGCTCACCGCACACTGCAACAATGCCCCATCAGCTGAAGCTCTTTTGATAGCGCCAGATGCTCATGGACATACTGAACTGTCTACAGAGAGGTCTAACACGTGGCTAACAGATCAAAACCAACATAACTCATGAGCAAGATCCTCCTGTAAAACTCTGCTGATATTTCAATAAACAGTTGCCCCCTTTTTTAAATGTAATAACTTACAATACATTTCATATTTTTTTGTAAAATGAAGTAAGGTGAAGTGTAATTTCTGTGCTACTAGTGGCACCGTATGTAATTACAGTCTGGTTGGTTGAGTGGCCTAACTAGGCCCAACATACAGTAACAACACTGGCTCAACCAATGGCATACGTTTGTCTGTACAATGGAACACTGGGAGAGTAACTAAAAATTGTTTGAAGACAGTCAATATTTTTGACTATTTTTGCGGATGTAAATTAGCAATGTTTACATTCTGTATTTTATACAAATGTTCATTAACATGCATTGTCCCTTACAAAAAAAATGGGGGCTTAAATTTGGGGGCCACTGTAGAAACAGATCTTGTTTATATTAAAATGCAAAGCTAGCATTTATTGACCTTTAATGTGTGAGACTACTTCATATTCACTAACTGTAGTGTTACTATTTTTAGTGAAGCCTTTTGAGGATGATGTCATCTGGGAATAAAAAACATGTTCATTTACAGTAATATTCTCTCAATACTTTTTTTCATTGAACATGAGATGGACAACTTGCACAGTTCTTACTCGCAGTCTATCAATCCTTTAAAATGTCAGTGACTGCTATGGATCTTCTAGAAGGGGAACAGAACAAGGTGAGACATGTAATGAATCGTAATTTTACCTTGAAGGACTCCAGTTGTTGGTTAATGACTTCTGTTTCCAATCCAACAGACCCTTGGGACTCCTCTTGTTTTTCGGCACTGCTCAGTCTGTGGGTAAACTCCTGCGCCTTGTCGTAGAACTCCTCCAGATGACTGAAGGTCTCCTCAACCTGTTCTCTTCTACCCGTGGCTCGGTCCATCAGCTTTCCACACTGCTTGCCCAGGGTTTCCAAGTCTCTCTTCAGACCCAGGAGATCTAGGGAGGCCTCTGACTCCAGCATCTTCTTGCAACTGTCTCTGCCATTGGCTGTGTTGGTCATCAGATCCTGAAGTCTAGCAATAAAGTCTTTGATAGTGCTTTGCTGATCCCCTAAGGTGTCAAGATCCCTGCCTACAGGAGCCATCCCATCGAACTCATCGTCCAGGTCTGTAAAGTTTGCAAACATTTCACGAATACTGTCCTGGAATTGTCCAATGCCCTGGAGTTTGTCCTCCAAGGTGGAGCAAGCATCCTCTACCTTTCTGGTAATTGACATGTGGTCTTTTTCCAAGCTGTCTGCCTGAAGAAGAAGGTCTGTCACACCTTCCACCTCAGAGGCATCTACCACAAGACTTTTTGCAACATTTTTGAGATGCTCAATCTGGTTGTGGACACCCTCTAAGCTGTTCTGCTGAGCCTTCATGTTGGTCAGGTTCTTGTTGCTGTAGGCCTGGACACCCAAAGCCGAATGAGAATCCAACTGTTTCCTGGCAGTCTCCAGCTGCCCTTTGGCTTCCTTCTGTAAGTCGTTGAACTCTTTTAGCTTCTGTGAGATGTTTTCTAACGATTCTTTTTTGAGCGTTAAATCTTCTGTCAGCTTATCCACTTTTTTACCAATGGCTGCCTTCTCCTCCCTAACCGAATCACCATCTGAAGTGACTACCTCCAGAAGGCTGTCTGCAGCTGCGTTCATCATCACAACTTGCCCTCTATGCTTCTCAACGTCTTTCTGGATGGCCTTCAACTGCGAGAGGGAGCCCTCGATCTCCACCGAGTTCACGCTGAGCTTCACATACTTCTCCCTGTCTTCAACCTCTTGCAACCATGAGCTCAGTTTCTCATAGTGTTCTTTGTACTTCAGTGCCCTCTCCAAGGCCCCTTGAAGCTTTTCTGCTTGCTCAGCATTACCTTTCTTCACATCGTCCCAGCTGGACTTTAGAGCAGAGAGCTGTCCCTGAAGGGCCACCTTTTCTGCCCCCTCCGTGCTCTGGAGGAGAGCTTCTCCCTCTTTAATGATGGTGTTATAAGGTTCTTCATGCTCACTAATGGCCTTTTGAGAAGCACTGTTCTCCTTGAGACTCTGTTTTAACTTCTCTGCATTAGCAGAGATGGGCTGTGGCTTACACTGCTCCTGCAGAGTCTGATTCAGCCAGGCTTGGAAGTCCTTCGATGTCTGATGGAACTGCTGGGAGCTGGCGAAGGCTGAGTTGAGCTGCTCAATCCACTTTCCTGGTGGACACAAGGTAAAATATAAGAATGTTAGATAAGAAGTCTCAACAATTATGTAATACTGTGTCCGAGCAGGGCATAACATGGCAAGTCTCAAGTGCCAAACAATTTTTCTGCTATGACTGACAGCAAAAATGCTATGTGAAGAGCACAACCAATTGGAACTTGACTGATGTTTGCTATGGATCTACAGAATGTGGAGTTTGTGGGGACACCCAGCGCTACGCAACAGAAATAAAATCCAAGTATATCTTGTCATAGTTGGATAATATTTATCACTTGTCACCACTTGACGTGGTTAACAGTTTACACAGTGCTTATTCTCTGTCTTTAGGATATACATTTTAAAGGTGAATAGGAGTGGTTTCAGCATTTTGGAAATATACAGGTATAATCAAGCACAGGTGGACTCTGCTGACTTTTTGCATATTCCACACTGATTTTGGGGAGGATCGGTGGAATTGATTTAATCTTACTAAACTGTATTCAACTTAGCTGAGGATAAACATTATCAAATTAGCCAAAATACTTGATAAATGAACATGCACAGGTCGAAGGATGTATATGACTTTATGAATAAAGGGCATTTAAATTCTGAATAGGTTTTGGCACAGTTATACATGTGCAAATAGAAAATCAGGATATTCTGTGATGTTGCAGATAGAAGTAGACTACAATACCTGCTTTGTCCTCAAGTTGTCTAAATGGTTTAGTGATGCCCTCAAGCTGTTTTGTCAAGTCTGCTCTGAGATACTCTTCAGTCACCATGGCAGAGAGCTCAGAGCAGACAGTTTCTGCCTCCTTCAGCCTCTTCTTCTCCTCTCGTAGCTGAGCCAGGATTGTATTAGTGGCTTCAATCTGCTTCTTGACTTCATCAGGTTGGGTGCTGAGTGCCTGCTGGTTATTAAGTTCAGTCTCCAGGCAAGTGGCACTTTTACTGAGGCTTTGCAAAAGCTCCTGGAATTGAGTGGTCTTACCGACAGCCTGCTCAATGAGAGCATGTCTCTGAGACAGCTGACCTGTCAGGACCTGCCACTTCTGGGAAACAGATGCCAGCTGTTCTTTAACCTGCTCTACGGCAGGATCCTGCTGCTCTGACGCACTAGCGATGGCTGTGGCCGCCTCGGTTAACTTCTCATACTGAGGTTTGCGGCTGTCGAACTCCTTGAGGAGAATCTAATCAAAGAATCAACATATGACATTAAGTAATAGGCATTAAGGGAAAACTAATCTTCAGTTGCATAAGACATAGTACAGCATGTCACTCCATCTTTGTAACATAATAGGATACTTCAACCAAAAAGGAGAAGTCGTCATCATTCCAAACTGGTTTGACTTTCTTCCATGAAACAAGTGTTTACATGAAACAAGCAGCATATTTCATTTTACCAAGGTCTATAAAGCTCCACAAACAACAAAATAGCATGGTAACACTTTAGTTTATGGACCAATTCTCAATATTAACAAGTTGCTTATCAGCATGCATATTATTAGCATATTGGCTGTTTACTAGTACTTATAAAGCACATATTAATGCCTTGCTCTTCATGACCATATTCTACATCCCTAATCCTACCCCATATCTAAACTTAACAACTACCTTACGAACTATTAATAAGCAGTAATTAGGAGTTTAGTTAGAATTGGACCTTAAAATAAAGTGTGACCAAAAGCACACATGCCCATGTGACCAGTGTACTATATTCCAAGTCTTCTCAAGACAGAAGACTGCTTTGATCGAGAATGCACTGAAATATGAATAACTATTTACTTAAAATCACATCAATGATACCAAATGCTATTGGTGACTAATCAAGTGTGATGTGCAAACAAGAGCTACTGTACAAATGACTTTCAGAGGAAGACAACTTAATTTTCTTAATTTTTGTGTTCCTTATATGGCTTCAAAAAAAAAACCCCCAGCAAATTTAGTGTGAGAGTCATATGAATTACTCTTATGGTCCTTTTTTATCCTTTTTAATGTTTGGCAGACTCGGATCACATTTGTTGTGTAGAACAGAAAAAGCACAGCAAGAACATTCTTCAAAATATCTTTTCTGTTCCCCAAAAGAAAGTCACATAGATTTGGAACAACATGAAGATGAGAAAATGATGACTCTATTGAATATATTGTGGTGATTCTATAAAGTGTGTATAGATATAGATTTTGCTGTATCATGTATATTGCAGTATGTAAATAACACAGGACTGCTTAATGTTATTGACATGTTAACGTGATAAAGAAACATGCATGAATGAGAAAATAAAGCACAGGATGTTCTTGATGTTTAAGAGTTAAGCGCAATAAGCCTAGAAAAACAAAAAGACAAATAAAAGCCCTCACTGCTCTTGACCGAAGAACTTCAGTAGCTTTAACAATAATGTAATAAAGTCTACGCAGTTCTTTACATTTAGGTATTCAATTTACTGTACATGAAAAATTTAAAGCTATTACATTTATATCTTCCTTTATTATAGTTGTCCTATTGTTTGTAATTTGCATCTTATTTTTAATAACAAAACCAACCTTAATGTTAAATATGCTGTTATTGTGAAATAAGATTACTCATTTTTTAAAATAAATTTGGAGTGAACTATTCATTTAACATCATATAACCTCTAATATTTCATCATGTATGGCATTAATTCGTTCACATGTATGTTTACAGTGTGACTGCCAGTACCTGGACTTGCTGCTTTTGTGTGTTAAGCATGTTTGGATCCACAGACAGAGGCCCCAGGACGCCCATCATCAACTCCTTCTCCTGCAGCCACTGCGAGAGCTGCGGCTGGGTCGTCTGGAAGAGCTCCAGCATGCGGGACGACTCCTCCAGGTGCTGTTTCCGGATCTCCATTGTGCCCCTGACCTCCTCCCATCCTGCGTCTGCGTTTGGAGCAGAGTACACATCACTTTATCTCTCCCAGCTTCACTTTAGCTCAGCATTGATTGAGAGTGTGTGGAGCAGGCCAGACTCCTCCACTATCAGCTTGAGCTTTCACAGGAGCTTCACTTCAGCTTACAGTTGGTACAGAAGATAAGTGTGTGAATTTGCAGCTGGCCATCCACACAGATGAGCAGATAAAAGTAGATGAATGGTTTTGGATGTGATGCATGCATACCTATCTGTGCCAGCATGTGCTTCCACTGTTCTGCCTCGGGTGAATCAGGGTGTTCCTCAATTAAACGGAGCAGATTCTCCCTGAGCTGCTGAAGCTGCACTTGCTTTTGTTTCATATTATCTTCAAAGACCTGCAAGACAGACATAATAATCAGCTATTTCAGTGTTTATAGCTTAAAGAATGGTCTTACAATGACATACTGTCAAGGTTTCCATGTACAATTTATTGGAAGGCTGACACAGAATGTGTGCACTGTTTTCAGACTTTCTGCAGTGATTGTTTAGGAAAATTTTGGAAATTATGTGGAATAGCCTGAAATATGGCATTATACTCTCAGAACAACCTGGCAACCACCTACAAATAATCCACAGTAATGTATTTAATGTACCTTCTGTTGCTCTATCTGTGATTTTACTGTGTCTTTCCCAGAAGGATGGTTGCTCAATGATGTTGCCGTTTTCTTTGTGTCTTCCATCCACTGACGTAAAGACTCAGCCTGATCATGGACACCTAGAACTCTCTTTAACAAAGCGCCGAGCTCGGAGGACCTGGCCTTCAGGAGTTCCCCCAGATGTTCGTAATTGTTGTTAATGTAGGACATGTTCTGCTGTACCAGCATCAACTCTAATGGCAAATAAAGTATATGCTTATTGTTTTACAAAAATAGACAGAATAGCATACATTTAAACTGGCCAAAATATTAGTTATTGGTCACAGCAAAAAAAAAAAAAAAAAAATGCATCACTAGTATGAACTTTCACCTTGGTTTGTCAGATAGGAATGGCTGCCTGGACCAGAACCGTTATTGACAGCTGATCCTAAAGAGAGAGAGAGAGAAAGAAAGAGAAAAACATTCCATCTCTTTGCTTTTACGCTAGGTGGAATTAATGAGCAATCATGTAGAATTGAGACATGTGAAATCTTAAAATATTCCTGGGCAATACCTGAGTTGTGACATATCTTGGCTTTGGCCGGTGATGTCAAAACACTGATTAGGCTACATAGAGCAGATCCTTTGCTATTTATATCCTGGACTGCAGGAGCTTTGGAGGTCCAATCGCCCAATAAGCCCTGTAGACAACATAAAAAGACCAGAAAATGTCATTTGAAAACTTTAAAATCTATATAGAGTTAAGAGACATTTAGACATTTTCATCATTTTCTGTTGACATCTAGAACATGACACACACATTCTTGAATAGTGAGCATTGAGATTCAGTAAGCTGGAGAAACACTTCCTGGGAGAAACACTTTAAAAAAGGAATGCGTGCAAATCCTTGATCTATTGTTTATTCTCCTTATACGGGGGATTCTTCAAATAAACATGTCAGTTCCTTAAGAGGATTTTATGAAGGATGGAAATAGATTTAAAAATCCTTAATCTTTTTTTATTTTGAGTCTTTAATAACTCCCCCCCCCCCTTCTTGGGCTTCTTTCCCCACACAAACAGTTCTTCTATTATAATTTCACAAAAAGTACTAAAATGCAATGCTTTGCCATTTTTCTTCTTTTTTATATCAAATATGTCACAATGCTAGAAGCAATGCTGTTGTTACCATCATTTTACAAAACAATTATTACAAATTTGTCAACAAAAATTGACAAATAGGTCTTAAATGGTTAAAAGTGCCTCTAACTGAAGAGTCAGCCATGCTCAGTGAGATGTGTGTCTTCTTTTAGTTATTTTCTGTTCATTTACATCATCGTTCTGTCCTGAAGGTTTTGTGGTCCCACAATAAGAGGTGAAAAGTTAAGTCCATCACTCACATTGACTTTCTGCAGGTCTGTTCCCAGGCCCTGTTCACTGCAGTTGGGCTGAAGCACTGGCACTTGCTCTTTTGTCTCCTCCAGCCATTTCATTAACACCCCTGTGGCAGCTTTGAACTCCTGCAGCTGCTTCTGGCAGGATGAAACCTCCTCTTTTCTGCAATACACACGACGCATATGCATATAGAGTTTTATTAAATAGTTTGACATCTGGCAAAAGCATAAATAATAATATTACATTTCTTGTAATACTGTTCCATTATAGCACATGGTTTTAATTCTATAACAGTTCTAGCGTCACTTTATCCAATTAAATAAGTAACAGGGTCATATGCCTAGAGAAGTATAAAAAAATAATGTGACACATTGGAATAAGACAATATCATAATTTGAGGCATAGTCTGTTTTTATTCTAAGTATTGTTTTTATGCTAAGTGCTGTTACTTAATAATCACTTACTTCTCAGTAATTGTCTCTTTAAAAGCATTAAAGTTGTCAGAGATGTTCTGCATCTTGCTCTGAAGAAGAGCTGTGCTTCCTTCTGGACCCAGCTTGCCGAGTTCCTCAGTCAGTTTCTGGAGCGTTTCCATGTCCTTTGCGTGCTCGGCTAACTCTGCATTTGTGTCCTACAAATAAAGATTTGATTAAAACTTCAAAATGCGAAACATAAACAGATAACTGAACATAGACAGTTTATCTCTGTTCCAAACTGTAGAGAGCTGTCTCGCTGTCCATCCCATTTTTTAATAATGAAAAAATTCCCAGTCATGATTTTTATGGATTTGCTATTGCTATTCATTGGCAGATGGTATTATATGGATATTTTCATGCTAGAACATTACATTGGACAAAAAAAAGAAAAATGTTATTCACCTTAAAGGGTTAGTTCACCAAAAAATTTAAATTCTGTCATTAATTACTCACCCTCGTGTTGTTCGAAACCCGTAAGACCTTTGTTCATCTTCGGAACACAAATTAAGATATTTTTGATGAAATCTGAGGGCTCTCTGACCCTCCCATAGACAGCAAGGTAACTACCACGTTCAAGGTCCAGAAAAGTACCAAGATGATCAACAAAGTAGTCTGTGTGACATCAGTGGTTCAACTGTAAAGTTAAGAAGCTACGAGAATACTTTTTTGCACAAAGAAAACAAAAATAACGACTTTATTCCACATTTTCGTCTCTACTGCGTCACTTGTGGATGCGCCTTCACGACGTATCATGAGGAGTATCATGACGCGAGCGTGTGGCGGCGCTGACCCAGATCCGGGGTAATGACGTCATCACGCAGGATCTGGGTCAGTAACTTTACAGTTGAACCACTGATGTCACACGGACTACTTTGTCGATCATCTTGGTACTTTTCTGGACCTTGAACGTGGTAGTTACCTTGCTGTCTATGGGAGGGTCAGAGAGCCCTCATATTTCATCAAAAATATCTTAAATTGTGTTCCGAAGCTGAACGAAGGTCTTACGGGTTTGGAACAACACGAGAGTGAGTAATTAATGACAGAATTTTCATTTTTGGGTGAACTATCCCTTTAAAATGAGTCATCAGTATCTTTAGTCTGTATTCTTAGAAAAGAAAGTCTGTACTTCTTAGTGTTTATATCCACTATAAGCCAATTTTGTCAGCTTTTTGGAGGACACATAGGGCATTCAGTATAGATTTTGACCTCAAAGCTAACTGACATGAACCAAAGCCATAAAACTCCAATCAAAATATGTAGCTCACTGGGTTTAGGAACAGTGCAGTCACGTTTAGTGAGTGAGCAGCATACCTGGACAAGCTGGAAGAGCTCAGCGACGTTCTTTCCTGGCCCGTCTGTCTCGGAGAGCACCTGTGAGCTCTTCAGTACAAACTGCTGCACCTTCTCAGATGTCTTTTCAAACTGCTCCACCTTGTCTCTGAGCTCCTCCATCTGAGCCACCTTCTGCTTGTGCCGCTCAGAGGCGTCAGTAAACCGCTGGGACAAGCCCTCCATCTTAGCCTGCAGGAGGATGGCAGCGGCCGGCTCAGCGCTCTCCACAAACTTCTTCACCTTTGCCTTCATGGCCAAGATGCTGCTCTGCCTGCTGGACATGTCCTGCTCCAGAGCCTGAAAGAAACGGATGTAAACCTTTTTTGTTCAAATGAAATATTTAGTTCAATATTTTTTTTAATGAACAGGGACAGTTTTGTATACAGGTTGTCTTTAAGTTCTTTTTTAAAGGGATACACTGGAACTGAATGGGATCCAAAATAGTTTGGTTACCAACACTCTTCACAAAATCGTTTTATGTTCAGGTTCCAAACAGGTTTGGAACAACAACAATCTTAATTTTTGGGTGAACTATCCCTTTAATTACACAGTTTTGTCTGGTATGCTTATGCTATGTGGTTGCATATTAGCTTTCTTTGGATGACAGGTCAAAGGTCACATACTGCCTCCTTGCTAAGAGCATCTGCAATAGAGCTGGAGTCCAGCGGCACTTTTGGCGTCTCCTTCACGCTCTCTTCCACCTTCTCCATCCAGGACATCATCTCATCCAGGCCGTCCTGAACACTCAGAGAGCGCGTCAGAGTCACCTGCAGCTTCTCATTGCGGTCACTCACTGACTTCGACAGGTTGTCGTATCTCTCTATGATGTCATCTACAAACAGAAACTTATTCAAGTTTTTCTTCCCAAAATCACAGTATGTGTTATGCCTGTTTCACACCGTAAGCTTGAGCTTCGCGTCAGCTTCATGTCAGCGTAACTGCAGACTCGTGAGAGTATTCACACTGGAAGCGTTTGTACAGCGTCACAGCAGCGGCTCCAAAGCTACATATTTCTTTACAAAGACAACTAGACATTTGTTTTTAGAAGTTGGTCCTTTATAAACTTGCTTATTCTGTGCATTCTGTGCATTTTTATCACTTTTTGTGTGAAATCATATTTATTTTGTCCATCAAAAGTGTGTCAATCAAGCATCACTTCACCGCTGCTCACACGACACTCCTGCTTGATGCTCACTTGTTGCTCCTGCTCCCGGTGTGAGTGCACTCATTTGTTAACATGCATGCCAAAAGAATATGTGCCTCTCACGCTTGCGGTGTGAAACCGGCCTTATACTGTGTTTATAATTTATTTTTATCCTAAAATAGGCTTTTTTTTTTTCAGAAGTCCTATGCTTCTGGTGTGAAATGTGACCCAGGCATGTTTTTGTGAGAGTGATTTTGACTCACCCACTGTCTCCTGAATCTCCTCTGGATGGGACAGCAAGTCTCCCTCTGTGCTGATCAAAGCATCAGCTGTTTTTCTCAGCGAATCCACCGCAGCCTGATGGGACGTTGTTTGCCCTTGAAGATTCTGGAACAGACCGATGCTTATTACAGTTCACTAATAGAAGTGCAGTCTACTGACTGATTATCTTAAAAGCACAACATCAGTGGTGTGTGATCTATATCCATCTCAATACGCCATACGACACAGTGACATTAAAAAAGCTGAGTTGTTTAGCATAAGGACATATATAGTTGTACTATACATCTCTAGAAAACAGTAATGCAGCATGAATATATTTCCTCTGTGTGTATCTGATCTGACTGCTGCTGAGCTGAATCTGCTCTGAGTGCATCATGGGAGAAGTAATCTATTTAAGTGTGATTAGCATTGTCTGCATCTGTATCCACTTTTGCAAGAACAACTAGCTATAATACCCCACAAGCAAATTAAATCTGAGCTACTGTAAGTTATTTGTGCTGTGGCATGCTTTAAGGGCTATAAATACACTGAAAAAAGTGACATTTGTAATTGTATTTGAAATAGAATTGTAAAAACATTAGAATAAACATTAAGGTCTTTCAAAGCTGTCTTTGTTTATAGTAAGTAAACTAATTTAAACAGACTACCATTTTTTTTAAGTGAAAATAATACTTTCATAGCTAGTTCAGCTTTTTTATGGTGAAA